CACCGCGCGAAGATCTTCAATCCCTCTCGTACCTCTTTTTTTTTACCGTCTATCCTTTTTTCTTTAATCGCCCTCTTTACAAAGCTTTAGGAAACTCAATACGTAGATAGCAGGCTCGACCCTTCATACGAGACCCTCTTCGGTCCCCTCTTTGACTGCTTCTCCATGGCCCAAGAACCGGTCCACGGCTAAAGGGTTTGTGGACTCTAAGCTGCCACAAGCTTGATTCCTTCTCCTTCTTTTTTTCCATAATGGCCTTTCATTGTTGTTTGTTGTTGTAATAGTAACAACAACAAGCTCTTGAATTCTCTTGACCACCATGAATTTGCTCAGCTGGCTACCTAACACTGACTAATTGAAGATGGGACCTTTGCCCGGCCACTAATAGCAGCTATGTGTATCGCCTGCGAAGGACAAACTCGATTACGTGTGTGAGCAGTGCAAACTTTAGCACGACTAGGAGAATGATGCAATGGTACTCACTGATTACTGCGAGACCGCGTGATCTGACTAAGTAGTGACGGACGTCGTCACTATTGAGGTCCCGGCATTTGGACTATTTATGCATTCCGCTTCGATCTATTTTGTGATCTAGTAAGCAGTATTTTATGTGTAGTTATTTCCTTTATATCGTTCCCCTGCTGGGAGGAGCTCGTTTGAAGAACTAACAATTTGAGTAGCATCGACCGGAGTTGAACAGAAAAGACCAGGGCAGTTTGATACAGTCCGCTGAACCGTTTGAAACAATAAAACATAAGAGTGTTTGCCTTCTTTTATCAATATGTTAAACAGAATACGCCTTCAAATAAAAGCTACTGTTTCAGGTGCACTCGTAGTTGTCGGGTACAAATTTCCATTTTTTCCGAATGTCTTCTTTGACGTACGTGGCCACCGCTTCCCACAACAACGACACAGTAAGGACACAGATATAGTGTGAATGGGACAATCGTACCGGTGTCCTTTATCCCGCACGCAAGTGGCCTTTTCCCATTCCGCTGTATACTTACTGGCTGTTTGTTTATGCAGCGAACACACAGGAAGGGCGCAACACAACTACCATCAGAGGAGGCTTGCGCAGCGGTTTGTCCACCTATCGACTTGCTCTAGCATTTTATTTTCAGTTCGCGTCTGTGAAGCTGTGGACCGACCCTTCAGGTCGTCTTTGCCGGCAGCCGCAAGTCAACCGATTGTTGCACAGGACAAAGGTGACAGGGTGATGTTCTCAACGTAATGTTATCTCCATGACGCCGTCACTAGCGAGCACGTCACCAATGAACTGATCAAATCAAGTCGCAAGTGCAAACGCTACTATATAACAATGGAGGTCAACAATGACTCGGGTAACGAGAGAGATTTCAGAGGTTAGGTTACCAGTGAAAGAAAACATCATTCGAAACTCAAGAATGAACTTTCGTCGTGGACATATTGTTTTACCCCGAAAATGCTTTGAAAATGATAGTAAAAAAAATAACAATAGATAGGCTACACATGGATATCCTAAATGTAAGCAGATACAAGGGTACCAGTTGACTGTAGCAAATTTATTTATTGGCATACATGTTTTTAAAACTAACTCCACCAGTACCAACTGATTACCCTAACTAATGATGAATCCGATTGATCGAAGTGTTGACTGTGTGAGACAGCTGGTTCTATAGGAATCCGCCGGCTTCAGCTTCGCCAGTAGCAAATTTCAGCCCAAATAGGACAAAATTTATTAGCATGTCTAACTCTAATCACACACATAACTTTACGTACAATTAACAAATTTGGATGAAGTAAACAGACGGCTAGCAACACATCAAAGGGAAATATGTCTATTCACACATCCCCTCTTATTCTCTTTGTTCTTCTTTACAAACTCTCCCTCTCTGCTGTTTATCTGTTTGGTGATTCCAAGAATCATGGAAGGGAGTGCGCTACATCCACAGTGAAGATAAGTATGAAAAAATTTCAGGTTGCTATGTGACGTATAACCGAAGATAAGTGGTCGTGCAGAAAACGTTGCGCACACTCCACTCCACTTCAGTTCTGGCGATGACGTAATATTAGCCACAGAGGAAATCGGAGTTCACGATTTCAAGCGTTTCACATTGTTCGTTTACTGAAGCAACTAATGGCTACGACGCAAGTCTGGCTTATTTGTAAATCGATTTTCCATTACCTCGACCTGCTTCGCGTCTTGGTAAAGATACGAAATTAGTATGGGCAGTGCTTACTGAAATCTTATAGGAAACTGCGGCAAGCCCTGACTTCTCTGCGCACCCTTCGTAACTTACAGGTGTGGCACCAAGGCACATGCTTTTATACGCCGAGTTAGCTTTTTTTTTTTATTTTGGAACCACCTGCCGTTCAGACAACCATCTATTCTAAATGATCTACACAAGGGGCTATAGTGGTACATACACCTGTTGTTGACACTGGCCATATCGCCTTTCGAACGCAATCTACACTCACCTCTAAGGTGCCTGTGCCATTGTAACCACACTCTTTCTTTCCACAGGACGAAATATATTTCGAATAGTTCTAAAGGCTTCCATATGCTCGTTCTGATATAGAGACATTGTTGCTGATTTGTTTTTTGACTACTACCAGCAAAAGTGGATAAACGAAGTCCGATTGATATTGCTGTCGGTGATTTACTGCGAGGCATACTGAAAGTTTTAGTGGTATTAATTTTTATAATATTTTATTATATTAATTATTATTAATGATTAATCAAACAGCAGCGACAGTAGGTAATAGAAATAGGCAGTAATAGATGAATCCAACAGGCCCTAAAAAGGTGAACAAAGAGCCCAACAAGGCTCGTGTGCTTAGGGGCGATTGGCCGAGCTGTATTGTATCTTATTTCATACGTATCGGAATTTGGGCACTTGGGTACGCCTATTTTAGCTGATCTTAAGAAGTTTCAACACAATTACAGGTCATTTTTAATAAACATACACGTTGTATGGAAGGTGTATGTATTGCCGACTTTTAGCGTGACACACTTTACGGTTTCAGGCCTCGTTCGTATGAAGATAGATACATTTGCTGCAAAGCTAGATTCCTTGTGCCTGAAAATTAAATACGATTGATTAAACCTTAATTCTAAGACCATCATGGCGCATATTTGGCAGGTTCTATTAAAGCTTATTAAAAAGGCTATAGAAGTGCACGTGGGCCCAGGTATGCGCTGTCGTTATTACCCAGATAGTTAATAAAATATATATTTGTTATCATAAGCACTGAAAATTATATCGAATAATTTGCTCTAGTACCACTTGAAACACGTTTCTAACTAGATTTGTCAAACAATCAAGTAAATATATGTATATATCTTATACACTCCTCAACTGATGAACCAGATCACGGACTGCACGAAGAAACAGCCTAGACTATTTACGATGCGTACTTTAAGCGTATTCTAGAAAACTTATTGCGCTACAAGCATATAATGAATAAGGTCACTCATTGAGACAAGACAAGACAACATAGGGAACGAGCATGGCTCCTTTTTCAATTCGAGTAAACTAAAAATATAGACATTGACATAGCAAATATTCGTCTTTTAGCTACTTGAATTTATTCTAACTTCCAACACATTTTGTTCAAAGTAGTGCCCTTATCCTATCCTACGATCTTCGTTCGCCTTTTTGATAGCCGGTGTATCCTGCGAAGTAAGAAGGTTTTGGTCCTTAAAAACGATCTATTCATCGATCCACTGGCGGGCCTTGGCCTCTGTTCAAACGTATCGACTTTTCTGGCTATGCTGCGTTGACCGAAGCAAGCGATAATCAGATGGAGTGATGTTTGGGCTGCACACCGAATGAGACAGGGTTTTCTATTGGAGCTGTATTAGCGCTTACTGAGTCGTCAAAACAGTGTACGATGTAGTGTTGTCATGCAGCAATATCGCTTTGCATAGTTAATTGCCAATCCAAAACCCCTTTTTCTCTCGATTTTATGACCCAGACGGTTAGTTGATTTGCGTTACAGCCTCCTGCGGTTCTTTTCCTAGGTTTGAGTAGCTCACTTAGTAGTATAACACTACCTTCTCATCCTACAAGATGCATGTGTGAGATGCGGCTTTCAGCCGTAAAGATTCCTTCATAGCATCGAACTGGACAGATCTGACCACTCTAATTTGCGTGTATGTATATCAAAAAATACCAGTCTTTCATCGCCAGTAACGATCTTGTTTGGAAATAACTTTCTTGACTTCCTTTTTTCATGTGCAGGTAGCGAAAGGCATATCGTCAGACGGCTTGTTTCGTTATTTTCTTTGAGTTGAGGATATATTTTTGTCCTTCGTAATGTACGCTAACGAATGACAATGACTATCCGGGTCCCTGCTAGCTGCCCAGATAGCTCTTGGGTCAACCATAGCGTATTTGAGCTCTTGAAGTCTATTATCCTCCGTTTATTCTGGCCATCCGGAGCCTTTCAACTAGAAATCTATGATTCTGATTCGACTGAATAAAAAAAAATAGCAAATCATAGCGCTTACTGCACGTCCGCCCTCCGTTCCGTAAACTGTCTCGGCAGCATTTGTTAGTGAGGTAGATAATGTCGAATAGGTATTCTTCCGAGCTCGATGACTGAACATACCGAAGTACTACATCTAACGACAACAGTGCAGTAAAAATGACAAGGTATAGGGCAGCCGATTAAAATAATCTAGAAACAACTTGGGAAGTTTCAACTAAATGTGACCGGCCGACTCGACACTAACGCCATCTGTCGGGAAGATTTTACTCAATCTAATTAAACTATAGCATTAGCAACAGTTCTGAATAAACGTATTATTTTCAGGCATGTCCTTCTTTAAACGATGCAGTATTTAGTTTTTATGCAACAGGCAAACAGGCGACTTAATTGAATAAAAGTTAGTGATTCTTTAAGGGTTACGAATAAAAATAGCTGTCAAAATGTAATAGATTTTCTAGCTGTCCTAAATACTGCCTAGGCAAAGTGTAGGCTATTAATCGCATGCTGTTTGCGTCTGTGTTTTTCAGATCTAAATTGTGATGAGTTGGAGCCCATACCAAATGGGAACTTTAAAGTGACCGGCGACTATTTTGGGGCTCGGGTTTACTATGAATGCGCAGAGGACTATTGGATGTCTGGACCAAAGGAGCGAATGTGCCAGGGAGATGGCAAATGGAGCGATAAACTCCCTGAATGCAAAAAGCAACGTAAGTAAACCTACGAGTAAAAGCACAGAAAAGAAACAGACATGCCGCCGTTAGATTAAATGTTCCAGTAGATCATTAACTACTTTCTGCTTACATTTTGAGCATTTCTTTTGCCTTCACGCAGTATTTTTCTTATTATTGTTTTACCAAGTGTGTCGAAGTGCTGAAGCTTAAATAACTTGACACGCTCTCTGTTTGCAATGCAAAATATTAACGATGTGACCCATACGAGTGTTTATATTCAATGTACACTGAAGATCCCTGACTATTCTAACAACTTTTTTAATAAATTTTGAGCGAGCATTTTTCCGCCGCACCACAAGGCCGGTTCGCTGATTCGCTTAGTATTGATCGCCGGATTACTTGTATCGCTGGATCAGTCATTTAATGATAGAAGCACAGGTCTAATCAAATTGTCACATTCGTCTTCTACCTTGGCCATTGCATACATTGGACCAACGTAGGACGTGGGTTGAACGCTACAACACCAAAGGATCTTCGTAGACACACATGTCATCTTCCATGCTCAGCCGCCATTCAACGCATCTAGTTAAGAGCCAAACCTGGTAGCGGCGAACAGAGTTCAAGTACCTAATCCCACGTTCACCTTTCGTGTTCCGTAAGGTTGCAGTTATGGCCATCGTTTATGCCGATGACATACGCCGAGCATGCTGGGAGTATAACGACGGCATGACGACATTTATGTTGACGATAGTCAGGCGCTCCCCAGACTTAAACGCAAAGCGAAGCACTGCACGTGTGTGTACCATTACGTTAAACAGGGAAGTTCCCCAATCCTTCTTTGAGTAGCGGGTTTTCGAAGAAGAATAAGGAAGATGTTGATGTATCTGGCTAGTGATTAGCGTGTAAAACAGGTAGTTTTCCAGACCGTCAGGGCCTACTAGTGACGTTATGAGATAAAGCAAACGAGTGCGCAGGACATGTAAGACGGAAAAGGGATAGAAAGAGTAAAAAAGGATCGAAAAAGAATAAAATACGCGGAAAATGCGACGAAGACGACGATGAAAAGGCTGGATTATGACGGTCGGACCAGCATATAGGCGCCAGGCAAGAAGGAAGAGAATGAAAGGAAAGGATTTGACGGGGTATGATAAGACGGGCAATGACACAGGCCTCTTGATGGGATCGGGGTTGAGTCAGAGGATGATCTGATGCGAAGAGCTATCATTTGCTCTGTTGATGACTACTGCAAACACTGATGGATCGGGGATTCTGAGGCCGCCTTACTCCTTGTTGCTCTCCAGCCTGCCTAGTGGGACACAGAGAAGGTGCAATATACAAGATATGCAAAATTATCTGTTTATCAAGGTATATATATAAAAAAGACTGTTTCGATTATACATCATAAATCATTAAATTAAAGTTCTTGCATGCAGACAAACAGAAAACAGAGCATTTCTAAAACACGATTAATCGATGTTACTAATTCATTTAGCTAGATTGAACAGCATTTTTAATGTGTTCTTGGACATACTGATTTTTGATCTTATGCTCGGCCTTGCAGAGGTGGCCAATCCATCCATTATCAATGGGATGTCAAACTAAAACCAGGGCCACTACATTCGAAGCTTAGATAAATACATTGACACAATAAAGTGAACACCTTTGTTTAAAGGCAATATCATATATAAACCGAAAATACATATAATGTTCTTGTTCATGTATCTGACGTAACATAGAACGATGGGTTTTAACAACAAGCTGGGCCTACCCCACAATTCGCCCTGTCATGGATCGTGCCCAGGTCACGCGTCGGCTATCCATCTTACTAGACTTAACAAAAAGGAGTGTCCGAGAGGGATTTACTTAAAGACTTAACAGTCCCTATATGTTCCGTGGACTATGTGTACGTGGCTCATAAAAAGTTGCACTTACGTGCCCTGCTTGTTGACGCTTAAACACTGCGTTACAAGCTGTAAGGAGCTGCTACAATCTTCGCTCCGATTGGAATTTCTAGTGCGACAGCAAACTGACAATGACGAAATAAGAGATATTCCCCATAAGACTGCACGGTATATACGGCGTTCTCTATAGAGCAGGAATATCCATGTACGTGTTCAGATGGAAACAGCTTTATTATGGGGAGTGCAAGTGCTTGGCGAAATGCGTGCACGTCAATGGTATGGCAAGCAAGGTTTTACCTGTGGTACAATATCGAGTTCACAACATTATGCTTAAATAATACCATGTCAACTTACGATACACAATTCGGGACCTTATAGATACATATTCGATAGGTCCGGACACACGAAATGGGACGCTATGGTTTAGTCAAAGAAAATTGATGAACCGCTTAAGGCGGTTAAAAGCTAAAGTTTCGACAAGCTGTCGGGAGGGTAGGCGAGGTTAACTGTCTTGTCTTGTCCCCGCAGAAAATCGCAGCCATAACTGGCATTTACACGTAGCGACTGTTTGGTCGTTGGTCTAATAACCATGATGCGAAGACCCATTGCTCTTTCCAAACAAAGCACGATAATACACCAATTCTTGAAAGAGTTTTCAAAAACACCCTGCCGTACAATAATTCAACACTAAATAAATATTATCTCAATAATTTTGACTTGGTTATATATTATATAATGTGTCTGCTACACAACTAGACATCGTATTGATACGGTGAGATCTCTGCAGGAGTTAGTATCGTATACATAAATTCAATAGTACTATTATTATTTTTTTATGAAAGTATGAGGGAATGCCGACAGATCAAACAGGCGCACCTTTGCTATACTGTAGGAGTGACAAAACTGCTTAAATCTGAGCATTTTCCATTGTTATTCCATTTCTTCTTCCATTGATGAGCTATTTTCAATCTTTTTAGCCAAAAGTAGAAGTACAGTAGACGCTGGTATCGCCTAAGCCCGAATCTAGCTAGCAGATTACGCAACTCGTCCAGTGGCTTGCATAGGCCAGACCTTTCAGCTTTCTCCACTCACAGAGTCGAGTTACGAACTTCAGCCCTCGCTATTTGAAACGACCTCCTCTGCCATCGTGACAGACAGACAGATAGAAAGAATAATAAGCGTAAAATCGGAGGTGGAGAGCTGTTACAGCAGAAACGCTTAGATACGCCCTTAGAAGCATGTTAAAATACAACGAAAACTGAGTCTGGAACCCCGAATAGCGCACTCCCTGTCCTAACGTTTAGAGCTACATATAACGTTGACCTTTACTGTAAAGATGCAATATATAGCTAATGCACATGGCGGAAATGTGTAAAAAACCGTACGAGGAACCGCCCAATACCCGAATACCATGCACGCCACAAACAAAAGTACATCGTATTTTATTATAGAATATGGCCCAGATAGTTTAGCATGTTTAAGCAATTCGTGTTTTTTCAGTGGGGTTTCTTACCCCCCTGCTCTGGAGTTGAAACATCTTTTTTTTTCTTCATACAGCAGCTCCATGATACGTCTTTATTAAGAAATTTGGATCATAGACGATCAACTTCGAGTAGGCAGCATGTTTTTGCCTACCTGGCGTTATAGAGCTGTGTTGACAACTTTTTTTGACTAAAAATTCTGTCCGTACGATGGATGGTATCGCTCATGATGTGACATTGCGATCTAAGCTGTATGGCTGCAGTTTGACCATAGTGAATTGCAACGTAACATGAGTTGAATAACAAAACCTTGGGGGGTCCTTCGTTCACATATCCCTAAAAATCCCTAAAAAAAAGAGGACGCAAATGGATATGCGAATTTTTCAACGTAGAAAGAATAACGGAAACTAATTTGGGATTTGGATCTTAGCTATGTAAGCCGCACGAACGATGCAAGTTAAATATAGCTAGAAGCAACTGGGGGGCGCGTGGAAGCTTTCACGAATTGACTTTATCAAAAGCCAAATTAGAATGTGTTACGTTGCTTGTACAAATTTCGATTGGGAACTTATATCACAGGCATTCGGTTTGGGAAAGAGGTCTCTGAGTTTTGTATTATATATTGAGAATTGTACAGATATGGCGACCTTGACGGGAGATGCGCTATTTTCACAGGTTACCTGGAATGATGATTAAATTAAAAACGGCTCTGGAACGATGCTTTTAAACGGGCCATAACCGCGGCACGTTCTTCCAAAGTAAACACTCATGGTATACAATACACTCTCTGTTTCTCTCACTTGCTTTTTGTTGTTCATCGGTAGAGCCGATATGATTATTTAAACCGGTAAAGCATCTAAACACGGCCATGAGGACGGAAGTGGTTTTCTCGCCCACTTGCAGCTGTCTGAGAACGGGAGAACCACTTTCAATGACGAAGGCTCTCGTCCGTTTCGGTTATTAATAATCTTCTGCGTGAACCACATCCCTATTCAATCTCTTGCGTTTGTCGCCCGCAACTACCACTTCATCCTCAGACTCGCTGAAAACGTTATTCAAACTTTCTAAGCTCTCGGCGGCCTTGGACTCTAGCGTTTTCGCCTTCGCTGGTTGTTGACGCTGATGAGGACAATAGGAGTGAAGCAGCTTTCAAGGTTCCCTTCTGCTAAACTTCGTTACGTAAACTTGCGGTGATGGTGGCGCAGGTAGCGGCAGGGTACAACATGTAACCTGCCTAGTCCCTACATATAACAGTACATCGTTTTACAAGCGTCCGAACAGATGCTGCGACTCGTCTGCTCGTTATTGAATGAACTAGTCCACCACTGATCTGTTACAATTACTTCTAAAACGAACGATATTGAACGGTTCACATAGGGTTGAGTTTAAGGAATCCTCCATTTCACACGAAACCCTGTATTGTGGCATTCATTTTGTTTGACTTAAGATTTTCAAAAGGGTTCTATCCGTTTACTCTGACCACGCATGGCTTCCAGTACACCTGTCGCGTTCATTATAATAGTGTACACATACGCACACGGCTTTTTGTGTTGCAAAAAGCCAAACTTACAAAACAAGTGAGACCATCATGTTCCGTAAATGTTAACACGCGTTATAGTGTGCTAGGCTAGTAAATTAATTGTGACTGAAAAGT